TCTGGCCCCCCCCCTCCCCCGCCATGGTCATGGTAGCCTTAAACAGGGCCCCACCCCCTCCTCCCCCTGTGGGCCCGCTGGGTTTGCAGGTTCTGGTCATCTTGCAAAAGGCCTCTCCCCCCCCTGTGGGCCCGCTGGTGGGTTCCGGTTAGGGCCAAGGCTTCGAGTCGTACCCCGGCTCCCTCTGTGGGCCCGCTGGTTTTGCAGGTTACGATCATCTTGCAAAAGGCCTCTCCCCCCCTGTGGGCCCGCTGGTGGGTTCCGGTTAGGGCCAAGGCTTCGAGAGTCGTACCGCGGTCGGCGAGCGGCCACCCCCCCCCCCCAAGGTGGGGGGGGATACCATTGGCAATTGGGGGGGGGGGGTGGCCGCTCGCCGACCGGAACCATTTGTATCCGCGCTTTCGGCTCCTTGAAGAGCTGGTTCCCGGCTTCCTTGCGCTCCAAAGGGCTCATGCTGCCCATGCCAGATCCATTGCCAGACGGATCGATCGAAATTCTGGCGTGTGCCTGGAAGCTTGGCTGGGTGCTGGGCTTCTGCTGCTTGGGTCTTTCCTTGCGTGCTGTTGTCTTACTCCTGGTTGGTGCGTGGAGCTAGTAGACATACTATGGCCTCTCTAGCCCACTTTGAGAAAAAGAGGTCGCTCGCAAGAGGAACAAGAGTTGGTTTGCTGTCTGATATTGCTTGCACTTGGCTGCTTGTTGCCGCTTCAAAGGGGCACTTCGCCACAACCGCAAGCCTTTGGAGCCCGGGAACAAACCCTCAAAAAGATATGGCGGCCCCAGGACATGCAAACTTTGGTTCATAACCCCCAGGTCTCTGTGGTTGGAATTGGGGTGGCCACCTGTTTTGTCAGCTGCACACCGTGCGTCTTCCCGGTCGCCGGTTGCTAAAGCTGAGAAGGCGCGCGGCCAAAGAATAGAGACGCGCCTGTGCCGGTAAGGCCCCCACGATTCAAGACTTAAATGAAGTGGGGGCGCAATCAACTGGCCATCATCCAACATGAGTCACAATCAAAACCCGGTACAAAAATGGTCGACCCAAAGCCATGTAAAGAACTATTAAGGCGGCCGCAGCTGTTTATGGCTGGGTCGCCCCTTAATAACCTTCACTTACCCGGGTTTTGATTGTGGCTCACATGAACCGTTGACCCCTCATTATGCCGCATGAGGGGTGTCCCAGATCAAATGGGATTTCTTCTTCCAGGGAAGCCCTGGCATGTTTGTGCATTTGTGGGGTAAGCAGCTGTTGGCTCAGGTGTGAGAGAAAGCTCATTCTACTTAGGGGGTGAGCTGCTCTTCAACCTGCAAATGTTGCTTCGAATGCGCCATTGCAACTCCAAGTACTCGAAGGCGCAGTGCATGACTCCATGCAATAACTGCTGGTTGGGTGAGTGGAGGAAATCCTGTAATAGTTGGTAGGCTCTTTATCCCAATACTTTGCAGGGTTCGTTTCTCTCCCTTGTGCATACCGGTGCGGGGATGTTTGTCACAGTACGAACCGCATCCAAACCGGTGAAGCATGGCTCAAACAGGGAAAGCCAGCCACCAAAGTCAAAGGGGTTTGCTCCAAACGAGGCTCAAAATCCGGGCCCGTGAGACGAAACCTGGTTCCAAAGGTTGCACAACGGGCGTGCAATGAAACGGGTCCCATCTCACCAGGAAACATGGAAGTACATCATAGGCGTCTTTTTCAGACGCCCAAATGCTGGATTCTCCTTTTGGCTTCTCTTTAAAAACCGCCCCAAGAAGAAAAGACGAGCCCAAGAGGAAGACATCATCTTCGTGGCCACCGGTCGCATTCGAAATCCAATCACACACACACACACACACCAAATTCTAACTGCAACCAGCCCACTTTGCAGCTGCAATTCACCACGTTCCACCGCCATGCGGACAACTAATCAGGTGGGCCGAATGTTAATTCGGGACCCTCTGGTGGACATCATTTAGGTGGGGGTTCATGTCCACCAACCACTTTCCACGGGGTTCCCTATTTAACTTCATGGCCATGTGAAGCTGAGAGTCTGAGAGTCCCGAAGTCTGGCGCACCTGAGAGAAATAAAACCTAGTGAAAGGGGCTAACACGAATAAGTAATTTGGCTTTATCCATCGCCCCCTACTCTACTTGTCTTGGCCCAAAGGAAAAGGCTTAAATAGTGTGGCAACCGTTCAACTGATCGTGGCTTTAGGTGTCTCTGTTTTAGCTTGGAGCCCCAACATGCTGGGTCAACCTCTTGGTTTCCCTTTAAAACAACCAACAAAGGGGCCCGCGCGTCAGAAAAGGACACACCCACGGGCCCATTCTGCCAACGTCACCCCTCGAAGTGGCAGGTTGAAGGGAAACCTCTTGCCAATTCCAGTTGACTTTCATAGAAACAAATGTGAAAATGAAGCAGGGGTCACTGGCTAGGTCCTCCAGTAGAGAGGTTAGAATAAGGGTACCCTTTTTTTCTGTAGTCTATTTCAGTAGGGGAACCCTCCCCCCAAAAAGAAGCGGTAAAAGCGCACCTAGCTGGGGGACCTAGCCGGATATTGCTGTTTGCCGGTGGGTTCCAAGAAAAAACAAGCTGCCACTTTTGGAGCAAGGATGCCCCAACGAGGAAGCGCTGCCTCGAGCAAGCGCTGGCTGGGGGCCCCGGGCACATCCTGGCAGCTGGCGACCAAGCGCCTGGCAAAGTCTGGCGGTTAAATTGGAAGGATTCGGGGGTTGGGGGTACCAACCCTAAGGCATAGGGAGCATGTGGTGTCTATTTGGCCATGGGTCAAACCCAAATCGTACCCCAAGTGAACAATCCCCAATCCCCACTAAAATAGGTTCTAAAATGGGTGGTGCACCTACCCCAAAATGGTACCATTGGTTTTGACCCACAGCCATTTATGAAAAACAACAACAGCCCCAGGTGACAATAAATGGCACAAGTTTCCCCCTCCCTTTTTACATCCTTGTTTGGCCAATGCTACTGGGGATGTGGATTAAACGAGATTCAAGAGATGAGCAAACCGTGTGAATAACTATTTGAGCATGTCTTTATTTGGGGAAGAATTGGGAATGATGGGATGACCGAGCCACCTTCACCTAGCTGCTACAGTGCTGCTGAGGTGGGAATTGATGGGACAAGCAACCCCATATTGAATTATGCCCTATCCACTTCTGTGATGTAGATGGAAACATCTCGTTTTCCCAGGGCCTGGAGTTTCAAGGTTTCAAGGTAATACCCACAGTCAATGGAAGGCCTTCCAAACACTCGCAACCCTGACGAAGCTGAGTGCCAAGTGGGCCCGTGGATCCCCAAACTGGTGCGACGGGATCCTTCGTAGTTCTGAGTCTGCTGACCGCTGAGCGGGGCTTTCTTTGGCGGCTGGGGAAATGATAAATGCGAACAAGCGCATGGATGAATCAACCATCACCCAGAAACTCACGCTGTAATCATCTTTGCGAAGTGGTGCTACATGTTCTGAGATGGTGATGTGCGTGCAAATAGGAAACTTGATTGGGCGTTGACAATCACCTGGTCTTTCCCACAGCTGCAAAATCGGGGCTGGTGAAAACCGAGCAAATTTCAGGAGAGCGAGAATGTACTATCGGCGGAGCGGGGAATGGTTTGGAATGCAACCGGGGAGGAGAGGGAAGGGAGCATAAACAGGAAGGGAAAGGGGCGCTCGGAGGTTCAACAACGAACAACGCGCATTCCAGGACAGCAAACACCATTTCAAAAGGGTTCTTCTGCTGTTTGAAAGCTGCCAGCAACTCAGAAATCAAAACAAGAAAACGCGCGAAACATGTTGATTCGAGCCCCTGCGACAGACACTGTAAAAGATCTCATGTTCGACAACCGTCCTTGATTGCAATCAAGTGAAATAATTGCCCCCCCCCCCGAGAACGGAACCTTGGTGGGTGACATTGCTCGCTTTTATCCCCCCAAGAACGGTCCCTTTGATGCCTGTGGGAAAATGAGCAAGCCGACCAAACATAAAATAGAAGTGCGCACGCACTGTTTTCCAAGATGGGCGCGTCCGAGGAAAAATGGGCATGTCCGTGTTCTGTCTTCTTCTTCTTTTTGTTGGGGGGCTGGGGATCCTTTTTGGCTTGGTTTTCACAGCAGGAAGCAGGCAAGACTGAGCTGTCCTCAGATCCCTGGCTAAAAGTTTACCTTTTAGTAAAAGCCTTTTAGTGGGCTAAATGGAAAACACCACTAAACACTAAAAACCTAAAAAGCCCAGGGGATGGCTTTTCAGCCACCAAGTCTTGGGAGACTTCGTTGGATACCTTCGATCACACATGGGTTTACTGGCTAAGAGCCAACACTTACCCCTTAAAACTCCAAGCCCTGGGGAAGTTACTCTTTTACAGACATATAGCCCATGTTACCCAACAAGTTGAAAAGTTGTGTTTTTAAGAGGTAAGAACATGAGAACATTTGCAACCTGGAACAGCTCCCGGACTCCTGAGAAGACACCGGAAAACCAAAAAAAAGGAAGCCGCGCCCGAAGCCGTCGTCCGTGATGCGCTGCACGAAGCCGCACTCCAGCTCCCCTTGGGCGTCCCTGCCTGACGGTCTGACCGGCGTCAGCCAGTTTGGAGGTCTGCCTGCCTTCCCATCTACGTTTTACAAAACCAGGGGATCCACCAAGTTCGGGCTTTACAAAGTTCTGCGGATGGACAAAATCCTGCACCACCTTTCTGAAACCTGGCCATGCTGATTCCCTTGCAAATGCCAACAAACAATAGCTTCAACCATGGAATCATTTTGTTGCGCGATTTCTGGATTTCGCAACCATCCACAGTAGGACATCCAGGACCAAGTAAGGCTTCTCCAAAAAAAAGAGACCCCCCAAAATCGCATGCCTGGCTGTGGCTCAAAAAAATGTACCAACATGGCACCTGGCAAATGGAACCCAAGAAATGTCCCCGGAAAAGGGAAGAAAAGGCCCGCGGAGTCGGAAACGGGAAGTCAAGGGTCGCAGCTTCAGAGTTGCTGGGAAAGAGTTGGGTTTCGGCCCACCGGAAGCGGCTTCCCTTAAAGGGTAAGGGATGGTGTTGGGCTCGTGCTGACAGCCAGCGTGGAGTCAGGTGTCCGGAACCCCGGAGCCAGAGGATCCGATTCCAAGGGAAAGCCCGCTGCAAAGTGACGGGTAAGGCGCTCTCTCGCAGGTTCCTGAGTTCCCTAACCCAGCAGCAATAAGGTTGAGGCGTGACAAGAAGAGATTGAGTCAATGTGGTTCTTACTTAAGAAAAAGAAATGGCGCAGCCCAAATGCTGCAACAAACCAAACACCCCAAGAAGAGGCGGCCATGACAAGCCTTTTTGGATGCGGCAGCTGTTTAATTTATTCCGGGGCCCAGGTGAAGGACTGAACCAACCCGGCGCCAAGAACAAGCAAACCTTGACTAGGTCCTCCAGTAGAGGGGTTAGAATAAGGGTTCCCTATTTTTTTCTGCCGTCTATTTTAGTAGTGGAAACCCTCCCCCAAAAAAGGGTAAACGGGCACTACTGAGGGACCTAGTTGAGTCCGTAGCAAAACCTAAGAGATCCCAGGGCATTTGCACCCTTGGGTTGCTTAGGAAAATCCATTTCAGAATGCAAAGGAATGCTGTTGGGCCACCCCATTGTGACATGTTTGAGCAAGACAGCACCCCCCCCGAAAAGAAGTCGTGTGACGCATGTATGGCCGATGCTTCATAACTTCATCCTTCGAAATGGCCAATCCTTTCGCAAGAGAAACGCTGAACTTGAGGATGTTGTTTGGACCGGCCAATCTTGCACACCAATTCAATCGTCCTGTGGCCTCGGCGTTCCACCCCAAAACACGGCGGCTGAAGGTCTTAAAGCCCCCGTTCAAAGTGCTAAACCACGGTCCACTCCACCCGCATGCACACGCCCATCGCACATCCGACGTAATGTCTGTCTCTGACAGACAGCATCGCTGGCTTGAATGGCGAGATTTGCTGCGGGGTATCACAGAACTTGGCAATTTTCACAACCCTGATACATTACAACTGCAACTGCAACTGCTGAGTTCTCGGGATCTGCCAACTGGCATCGACAACTGGGTGGTCCCTGGTTCTATCGAAGGAATGTGGTTGGTTTTCCCTGTTGTGAGTTCATAGAACAGGCACAAAGCCCCTGCGCATTCGTGGTTTGCTTTCTATCCCCCCTATCTATCGCAAATTCCTTCGCAAATTCCTGAAGCTGGTTGACATGCCTTGTCGGGGCATATGTGGGGCTGGCCACAATCCACTCACTAGAGGCGAGCCACAACCATCTATAAGATAGGTGAAACGAACCAAGACGTTGTCCCCAAGCAAGAGCGGGATGAACAGCAACGACTGTCTGGCCACTACGTCAAGGGTAGAAACTCGAGCTCCTTTTGCGGGCAACCGCGCCAGCTGGCCCTCTTTGGGGTTGGTGCAAATTTTGTTTTGGCGCCGACGGCTCGTCCAGCCTATGCTGAACTCGCACTTGTTCCTGTACCCCTCCAGGCCTGGGCTTCGGCGTCAGATCCCACATAATTTGGCCGCGGTTGACCTTTTGTGAGAATCAAGGAAAAACGCCTGAAATCCCAACGGTACGAAGAATGCCTACATCCCTGGACAGGATTCACGCAGCGCTCCCAGAAAACTCTTGTTGCTCGCAACTGCGACAAGTGACCGAAATTAACCTGAAGAAAAAAGAAAGCCCTTGAGAGAGAAATCTTCTTGCTTGATCTTTGGACCCTTCCGCTGATTTTGAGGGGAGTGCCCCCCCCCTGCTCGCTTGCGTCTGCGCATTTGAAGGTTGATTCGACGAGCTCCTGCTTGCGTGTCTTGCAGACCATTGACTTTTAGGCAATCATTTGTATCACGTACACATATTGGCTCAAGGCCCCTGGGACGTCCTTCGCCTGACATCAAAGTGAAGCTGTTGCAGCGCTTTGTCTTGCTCCAAAGGGTCATTTCCTGTCGGAAGCAATGCAAGCAGTACATCCCTGACAACTTGCCAGCGAATAGGTTTATCCTAATTCTTGGTCTAGGCTTAACCTTGGGGTTCTCTGTTGCTGTGCATGTGTGTGTGTGCCTTCAGAAGCCTGAAATCCAAGGTGTCTCTCGATCCAACTCATTTTCTTCTTCATCATTACAGCTTGTTCCTCAGCCAATTTCAGCGCTCCCGGTGGTCCAGCCATGCTCTTTTTGGCTTCCGGAACTTCATCCTGCAACCTGATCGGGGATGCCTCGTCTTGACTCAGCTGTCTCCTAAGTTTCTCCACTTCCATTCTGGCCTGTTCTTCAATTGTTGACCTCTTGCCAGGCCTCCCGTCAATTTTGGCCTCGCAGCGTCAACTTCACGCCCAGTCCTTCTTCGATTCCGCTTCTGACAGCTGATGCACTTGTGCCCTCAGGGCTTGGATCTGTGCTTCTTTGCTGGACCCCACGCTATCGTGAAATTTCTCAACTCCCCTCACCCCGATCCGCACGGCTGCTTCCTCAGAATGCAGTCTCTCCCGAAGTCCTACGACCTCACCTTCCAGTCTTTCCCTTGCGCCGCTACCTGCATTGGCTTGAGATATGTACTCAGTTGCAGCGTCAACTGCCTGCCTCAATGATGCCGAAACTTCACTGCATTCTGCCCTGTATCATTGGGCATTTCTATTCATCGTAAATGCACTGACCTCAACTTCACTCAGTCTTGCAATATCTTCAACTGTTCTGATGCAACTTCGTGCTTGTCTCTCGTTCTTTCCATGGACATGAGCAGTCTGCACCTCTGGGGTGTGGTTTATCCTTGCCAACCCTATACTCCGTTGAAGGCCATCGGGCTCGAGTGCCTGAATCTTTGATGCCATTGATATGCACACACTTCGTAAAGCGCGGTTCTCATCGTACTGTTCTGCAGCCTCACCCAATTGAGACTCAGTCTTTACATGTTGTTTACGCAAATTCTTCAACAAGCATTTCATCCGCAGTCTTAGGAAATTTTGGTGAGTCCCTTGGAAAAGTAGAAGCCCCTGCTTCCACGGTCTGATCCACAGCTGCGTCACTTTGGTGGATCCAGCGAACGTGATCGAAGATTGACCATCGGACGTTGTCACGCAAACATTGTGGTTGGGCAATATGAGGTTGATCTATGTAAATCAGTAGGGCTTACCCTACCGTCCTAGATAACCCCACGTCTCACAGCACGTGGGGTAAACCCTACGGCTGATAACCTGAGAATCGAGGGGAAATACCTGAAATCCCAACGGTACTGACTGCACCGTGCCCCCAAGATGAATGCAATGCTCCGCTGGGAAGCCGCAGTCACTCAGCAAGCTCGATCGTTTTGTTGTCGGATCACAATCCTGGGCAGCTTCGCTGCCCTTTCACAGTAGCAGAGAACTTTGAATCCTAGCTACAGCGACTATGATACTGGAGCCAAAATGGAATTGCATGTAATTAGTTCACGCCCAATATGTTTGCCAGCAGGAAACTATTTACATGTGGGTTTCCCTTTAGAGCCCTTTAGGAAGGGTACCCTCCACAAAAAGACACACCCATACAGGTTCTCCCAGTCTGAAACTTTCCCTTGGATTGGAACGAGGGCGCAAAGATCAGGGGATCTTCCACCATCAGATGCTCCCCTTCGGCTGAACCCCAATGGATCCAGGAACCCTGCACTAAAGCGCCAAACGAAGGAAAGAGCCTTCCAGGGTCCAGGGTCGCGGCTCTGGAATCGGAGGCCGGAGGCCACAAATCTTCCGGAAGTTTCGCAAGCGGATCTTAGTTGGGGAGGCCTGACAAATGCGCCAAAAGGCCACCACAACTCTGGAGGCCACCGCCCCCTTCTCGAGGCCAACTCCGTTACTCTCACCGCTTTCCTTTTGCAGGGCCTCCTTTTCAGGGCTGCTTCGAAAGGGAAACCAGTGGAAAAACCAGCCAGTTGGCTGAGCAAAGGACAGCGATGAACTCTGTCACCTGTTTGGGGACAATTTGTGCGTGGGGACCTTGACCAAGCACTCGTTTTTTTGTTCCAAAAGCTGACAAGCGCGGTCAGGCTTGGAGACAAAGAGCTCCCTAAAAAGGAAACTCACCTTAGAGTGGCCCCAATCAATCCACCCAAATGGGTGCATCAAAAGGAACCCTGTTCAAGGACCTACTCGCGTTCTTTCTCAGTCGGCAAAACAAATGGAACATATCTACTAGCCACTCGTCCCTTTTTGAAAGGACAGCTACACGTTGGCAGGTTCCGGCATAGGCCTTCGCGCATCCCTCCCAGCTGGTACAGGAACTTGACCAACAGTATGGCTGTGCCCCATGTAGTGCTTCCTTGCCGCCTTTTTTGTTTGCTTTGAAAGAGATTGAAAACAGTGGGGCCCGTTTGCCCTAAGCATGGCATCTATGGGCACAGAGATTCTTGGGAAGCGCAACACCTGCGTTAGTCAAGCGGCAATGGCGGAAATATTCAAGTGACACCTGTGAAAACTCATCCAAAATATGTATCACGCCCATCAATATGAACTACACATACCACACCCATCCTTTCCGAACCTTTGAAGACTCATCAAAACATATCACACCTTTGAATCCTTTCCGAGAATTCTCGAATCATGGAAGAAAAAGAAAAACACGGGAGTGATAATTACATTGCTTTTTTAACCTCCATGACCCAAAAAGAAAACCAAAAGAAAATGGGGTCACCCTAAACCCTTAACCCTAAACCCTAATGGAAACCCCATGTTTTAACGTGTTGTAAGAACCATGGGGACTCCAGCAAAGGCCCCGCTGCTTCGCCAGCCGCCTCTGCCTCTGCTTCCGGGCCCCGAGCTCTCCGCCGGGGTGCCGATGGCCTCATCCAGCGGGCAGGCGCAGCCCATGGGCGCCTCGGGGCTCGCGGATCTGGGCGGCCCGTCGTTGGTCTGCGAAAAGGAAGCCCCTGTTCGAAACCCAAGAAAACCCCCCAAAAAAAACGAAGGGGATGGCTGGTGGCAAGCTGGTGGATTGGGCATGAAAGCCCCACTCAACCAACTAGAAGCCCAAAAAAAGTAAGGGGATGGCTGGGATGGCTGTCCAAACTGATCTGCTAAACGTTTCACTTGTGGGTAAAATGAACACCCCACTGAACCAACTCAAAACCCAAATGGGAACTGGACGGCTGGGTACCGCCACTGTCCACCAAACCAACTTACCAAATAAGCAACGACTGCTCTCTAGATGTCAATAGGAGCTTGAATAGGGTTTACAAGGGAATCAATAAAGAAATACTCAATCAGAATTCTGCAGGAAGTTATGTCTTAAATTCAAATTTAGATAGAATTCCTTTCCCAATAGAACTGTACAATTATATTTATTCTATTAGAGTTTCAATGGAATTTGATAAGGAAAGAACCCAACGATCTAGCTTCAATTAGAATTTACAGGATGTTATTTCTACAACACAGCAACATTTAAGCGCAAACTATTCAAACATAGTTCAACTCGAAATTCCATTCAACATATGAAAAAGGACGCTCACGGCGTCCCTTTCTTTTTGGGACATGTGAATCAATTTGTGGGTAGCCAAATTCTAATACTTGAGGCCGCCTGACAGGTACAAAAAAGCGCACTTGACTTTTCGGGGGGGGTGTCCCACACCTGGATGAGTCCACTAGTGCATGGGTCTGTATTTGCTGAACCGAACCTTTTCCAGCACCTCAGCAACGGCGTTTCCCCATGTCCAAAATCCCAAGTCCGAGCAGCAATGGTTGGGTTTCCCCTTCTTTCACCAACCAATCAAAGCCATCAAGCTCTCAGCAAAAAAAATGTGAAATGGCTCTCAGCAATGTTTTGGGTGGTTCGATGGCTTTCCACTTTCACCAACCCAAAGGGGCACCCTTTGCCTTCGCCTACACCAGCCACGAGCCAGGGCTTCAAGCATGGTTGACGTTGAAAAAGGGCAACAATTCGAATTTTAGCAGCCAAGTGGGGATTGCCCACTAAACCACAACAAGCAAAAATTCGCAAAATGTTTCCCAACAACAACCCAGCAAGGGGCAGGGCTCCGCACCCCGGAAGCTTTGGACCACTCGAAGGTCGTCCAGGGCGGCGTTTGCAAACTCAGGTCCTGCCCAAGCGACGTTTTTTCGTTCGGCTCGGGGGTTCTGGGCTGGGCAGCGCCTGTTTTTTTGTGGACACCACCCATTTTACTGGGCTGTCCGTTTTCAGATCCTAAAGTGAAACCACTAAACCAGCCAAAAAGAAATAAAACCTAAGGAACCACATGGCTGGGAACCACCACCACTGCCCAGATAGGCTTCAAGGAGGGTTTTAACTGGGCTTATTTTTTTGGAGGGGACGTCTAAAGGGGAAACCAACAGAGCAACCAGTGCAACCAGCATTTTGGCGGGGTTCCCCTGAAAGCACAGGTGCTGGAAATTTGGTGTCTTGTGCTAGACGTCGTCAAACTCCTTGCGACATGTGTTTCGCAGTGATGTGAGCCACTGGCAACATTGCCAGGGTATCGGTTTTTGCTGGGCCGCTTAGAGCTAGCAGTGTGTGCGGCTAATCTTTTCCCACCACTTTTTTTTTGCGGGGCTCACTCAGAGGGAGGGAGAAAGCAAATCCTGGGTCTGGCACTCTTGGGGTCCGATCTCTCCCACCTTAGTAAACTGGGCAAGCGGCTATAACGCGGGCGCTTGAATCATGAGAAGGGGGTGTTGGGGCACCGTGGGCACTTCAACACCCAATTGCGCCATGCTCCTAGGAGAATGTTGCTTGTCTTTATCCAGCTTACATTGAGCGATGGACAGTTAATAATTGTGCGGGACCGCACCAGGTGAGCTGCCTGTGAGTTGGCCAGGACTTGCCTCTTACCTGAAATGGGCCCGAAAGGACGAAACTTTCCAGGGCCAAGCATGATGGTACAACGTTCGCAGGGAATACCACCAACAAATGGAGACGCAAAATGGGGTGAACGGAAAGGTGGGAAGGCCCATTTCCACTTTCGAAGGTCAAACCAGAAACAAACGATTTCCCTGGACAAAACACAGCAAAGAACAATACAAGTCACCTACCTTCAAAGAACAGCAGAACAGTTTAAAGCAGCGGCTCAGCAGCGCAGCGGTGATTGCCACCCACACCCAGTCGGGCATGCCCAAAACCCCCCTCCCCTCCCCCCAAGGAGGTTCACAAAGCAAAGAAAAGGTCCAATGAAGACTTCAGAATCAACAAGCGGGGATGTTTAACCTGGTTTATGATGTGTATATATATAAAAGTGATAATAATTATGAACCAAGATTCAGTAGAACCCCCCCCCTCCCCTTCGCCTTGCACTTCTGGCTCACCTGCTTCGTAAAGGCCCGCACCTCGGATCTGGTGTAATGTCAGCTACCAAACTGGGTGGCGCGCTCGTCCCTTTTGGGGGGAAACCCGCCACTTTGGGCCTGGTTCGACGGGAAGCCAAAAGGGAAACCGCCAGGTGTTGCATTGCAAGGTCACAGGAAAAAAACAAACTTAAACTCCAAAAAAAAGAAGGTCGAGCGGGTTTGATTCGAGTCAGCCGCTCGGGTGGGCTAGTTCGATTGTGCAGCTGGGGGTGGCTTCACTCGCGTGTTTTCGAAGGGTGCGAAACCACCTAAATTTCAACAGGGACGAAGCACAGACACAGCCTTGCAAGGATCCAAGCCCTGTATAATAGTTCCAGCAGGTACGTTTGCACAAGCTGGACGGGTCTTCGTTGGCCCGCGCCATCCAGTTGCCACACACACACACGCCCCCGCAGGGGCGAAGTCCCGCAGAAAACAAAAGAGCAAAACAAACCAAAACAAAGCAAAGAGTCCCCAATTTGGGTCTCAACACCCCAAACAAGAAACAAGAACAACCAGGCGAACCAGGATAGCTTAGGGCCCCCGACGAGGGCAACAACGCCAAACAACACAAACGTCCAACCTCGTAGACGAAGAACGCCGCGAAGTTGCAGAACAAACAAAGGAGGAAGAGGCCACCCCTAAACGGGAAAAGACGAGGGACACGAAGGTGCGCAGAAAAAAGAAACAGAAGACGGGCGCGACGCCGAATACGCAGACTACCCCTCCTCTTCCTCTCCTTCTCACTCCTTTTCTCCTTCTTTCTCTCTTCCTTCTTTCCCCCTTCTCCCTTTCCCTTCTCCCTCTCTTTCTTTTTATCTTCCTTCCTCCCCCTTCCTCTCCTTTTCCGCTTTCTCCCTTTCTGCCTGGGCAGGGCGCGGCGCCCGAAATGCGATTTTCTCCGTCTCTCTCCTTACAAGAAGGAAAAGCGCATCTCGAAGAAGAGCACGTCGAACTCCGCAGAGAGGAAGTACACGTGGAGTCAACGGAAGAAGGCAGAAGACGTCAAGCCAAACTGCGAGAGGGGAGCGAGGAGCGCGAGCTGAAAGAAGACGACGAGGAGGAAGGCGACCAACTCGAAGCCAAAACGGGCCAAGAGAAAAGAAGACCAGCAAAAGGGAGAATCTCGAAGAAGATACATGAAGCGTGATGGCAAACGCGGAGGTCAATTTTCACGGCAGCAAAGCCATCCCGGGGCCACTCAACGGGTGCGTCCTCTAAATGTGGTGTCGGGAGAATGCTGAAGCTCGAGTGCGGTTGATTCGGGTCCGCGGCTCAAGCGGGTTAGTTCGAGTCAGCAGCTCGAGTTGGCTTCACTCGCGTGGCTTCGAAGGGTCACAGCCTTGCGGGGATCCAAGCCCTGTAATAGTTCCAGCAGGTACGTTTGCACAGCAAACTGGATGGGTCTTCGTTGGCCCGCGCCATCCAGTTGCCCGCGGGCCCCCTGCTTTGCTCATGGTGGTGTCTGGGTTGAACCGACACTCCGCTCACATATATATATATATATATATATATTTATACATATACATATATATATATATACATACATAAATATATATATATACACATCTACATGTGTATATATATATATATATATGTATTCGTGTTGGGTACCATGACTCATAATGTATAAAGTTGCCCTTTCAAACATTAAAAAGAGAGAGTTTCGCATATCGTGTCCCTGATCGAAGGCACTTCCCCTGGCCTACCTGTGCTCAGTGATTTCTTCTCATCACTTTGCAAAACACAGTGGTTTTGCATCGCTCCAGAACTTAAGAGGGAGGTGGTTGCCTTCCACGTCAGAAACCTGACATCAACATAAGCTAGAGTACCTCCCTGCTAAACAGACCCGGACAGAAGAAAAGGCGATCTCCTTTGCGGTCCTTGACTCGACCGGAGAAGAAAAAAGAAGAAGTTGCCAAACATGAACCCCTTTTTGGGCAGATCACAAGGTCGCTTCGCTGAGCGCGCGAAGGACCTCCTAAGACATACCCTCCAGCATGGGTTCATGGTCCCCAAGAGGAGACTCCTCCAACAAAATGCTGGTTCGTTGGGTTCCATGTTCAACTGCAGGGGAGTGTCTGAAACACATTGTTTCACAAATTATCTTTTTGGCATAATGACCTGATCCGCCAAATATATTACCATGCAAGCCATTTATTTGGGGATCCAACTCTTGCAGTATTTCAGGTTTTGGAATTCTTGCAGAAGCATGCAGAACTATCTCTTGTTTGACCCCCAGCTTCTAACGTGCTACCTTTGGTTTATGGGGGAACCAACATGCGTCGAGTGGTCCAGGTACAGCCGGGGTGCCGCAGATTTGATGTGCGTGGCCTTCATGCCTAGCACACCAGGTAGCAGGGTTGGTCGCGAACTGTGGAACTTCCATTTGCTTTAGCCTCCTGGGAAATATGAAAATCTGTCCAGTAGTGATATATCCCCTTTAAAACTAGCAGGGGGCAAATAACAATCACACACACACACACAATATTTTCAGCAAATGGAAGAAAAGAAGGCTGTTCAAGCCCTGGCCCCCGTTTGAAGGGACACCAAACGAGGGTTGAAAAAAGGGCAACATCGGCTCAACCGATGTTTGATTCCAAGGTGGCCCAACCCTTCCTTCGAGAGGCAAGCCAAATCCACAAACTGGCTGCTCATGGCTGGATCTCGTTCACCTTTGGCTAAACCGCGGCCTAAGCCCTCGGATTCCACCGAGAAAAAAAAAAACATGAGCCTGACCTCTTGCACCCAGCTTGGAAAGACCTGGCCATGGCAAAATTTTTGTTCTTGGGCCTGATGTTTGCCAGCGGCGCCCTTTCAAACGGGCCTCTCTCTCGCAGAGGGTCATGGGTGAACCATTGGCTTGGAGGGTGAAGGGCAAAGGCTAAAGGCAGGTACCTGTTACATACTGTGGATGAACGAAATCCTGCACCACTTTGAAAGCATGGGGAAACCGATTTTGTTGGTATTTACAGGGGAATCATCAATTCAGGGGTTTCTTAAATGGTGCAGGATTTTGTCCATCCACAGTAGTCCACCCTGTGGCCAACAAAAAATCCAGGGTAAGGATGCTTGCCAGCATTTCGTTCAATAACTTCCTAACTCCGGAATGCCAATTCCGTCGTACTCGTATGGTCGTACTCCTACATTTGCACCATACCAACAATTTTGCCCTGTAAGACTAACTTACCCTACGACTTCACACTCCCAACTCCTCCAAAGACTAGAATAATTTCCAAACCCGAGCAGCGCCTAGCTGCGTCTCGTAGCTCCAATCAATGAGTGGCGCCTCAGACGACAATGTGAGATTTCGCATCCGGGAAGGTCATCCATGGGCAAACTGCAATAATTTACCAACTACAATCAACTGGGCTGTCCTCAGATCCCCGGCCAAGTTTAAGATTCAGTGAGTTAAATGGAAACCACTCACCTCAAACCCTAAGGGGACGGCTCGGAACCACCAAGTTAAGAAAGCCTCAAGTCGACCTTGATGGGCGAGCTCGCACCAGAGCCCGCTCCCAGAAGAATGGACGCGACAAATTTCACTCCGGGGCCCTCCCAAACAAAGTGCACATCCCTAGGGTCCCAAGACCCAGGGTCCCACGACCCAATTCTTGTTGGGGTGGGTCAAAGGCCCTCACGGTGTTGCACTACTTTGCAAGCTAAGGTGCGCACGCGAAAGCAGACTTCGAGCAAGTGACAGATCTCAAAGGAGTAATGGTGTTTGATTCCTCTTAATTTGAGGCGTATCAAACCCTTCCGCAAAACCATCCGCGAAGTGCCCCAATATTTTTCCCTAAGAACGATGTCCAAAACCGACTTGGCGTTGCTGGTCCGACTCAGTGGAATCGTTGACGCAAATAGCGGGCACGCCCGGCGAGTCAAACCAATCGCTGGAATAAAATGTGTACCACAATTCTGAGCTGTCCTCAGGTGCCCCGCTAACAGCTTGGCTTTTAGTGGGCTGAATGGAAAACACCACAGAAGACTAAAAAGCCAGAAGGCTATCGGGATGGCTGGAAGCCACCGAGAATTGTACTTACTTTGGTCTGAGAGAGACATTAAAATTACCTAGAAATCACCTCCATTCACCCTCGCCTCTCCAACAACTGGAGGGACCTCCGTTTTTGGCCAGCTTTTCAAGGGACTGCCAACGCCTTGGGTTTTCGTTCTCCGCCAAGGGGCGCTCTTGTGGAGCACGTCCCCCGGATCTGGAGAGCGAGGATTCGAAGACGAGACACGCCGAAGCGAATGAGACCCAAGGCTTGGAGCTCCAATCCTCCGTGTCTGGGTGAATCAAAAAGTATTTCACCCGCCGGAAATGTTCGGTTGGGGAACTGGCCATTCCCCACATAAACCACTCATGTGGGGTGAATTCGGTCGTGCGAGGTCGTTGTCATTCACCCAGATAATTACTGTGGATGGCTCCGACATCCAGAACCCTTCAGAAACCCAGCACTTTCTGATTCGATTCCCAAATAGCAACAAACAATGGTTGCAACCATGGTTTTCCAAGTGGTGCGAACGGATTTCGTCCATCCTCCATACTCGTAAAGAAACCACTGCACCAAAGGGCACGCGTTCATTGCGCCTGGTAGTTTTAATCCATCCCAAACGGGAAACCACTGCAAAAGGCACCCCTTCACAAGCCAAGGAATTGTGTTAGCAGTGCAGGGCGACGGAATGCGTGCGACGCCACGAGAAACCACCACCATCTGGCATGAGGATGAAGGAATGATATTGAAACCAGCTGGGTCAGAGTCAGACCGCTTGCAACAAGCAAGATAAGGGAAAATACAGGACAACCGAAAAGGCAAACAGTCAACAAGGTTGGCCTTCGTTCTGGAGATGAAGGGGGCGGGAGAAGCATGTGAGGCGGGGTGGGACCTGCCCCGCCACGCCGGGGGAAACAGCCGCTCATGTACAAGCAAGCTGTTAGTCGTGGTAGATGGGACTTGAACAAGTCTTTCAAGTCTGTAAGTTGGTTCTACATACCTTTCCATACCTATACATGTTATGTTTTAGGGTTTATGGCCTTATGGTTCAGGTTCAGGGCCGCCGTATTGGACCCCCTGTTATGTCTTCGGGACTTTGGTTTTAGGGCTTTAGGCGATGGTTTACGGATCACGTTCTAAGAATTATGGGTTAAGGTCTCTAGGGCTTAGGGCATCTCGTTTGCGTTCTGCTCTCCTGCTAAAAGTGAATATACTTCTAGCGGTTTAATACGGAAAACCCATTCGCTGGAGGAAAAAGTTGTTAAAGTCCTAACATCCCCTGGCAAAATGCGCCAATGGTATATGGTATACTCCGCCACTGCTCCGAAGAACCACAAGAAAAGAATGGCCTTGGCGGCTGCGCTGCGGGACGCGGTGGGGGTCGGAACGTTGCGGGCCCGGGCAAACCCCACCGACTTGCCATGTATTAATATATATATATATATATGTATGTATATATATATATGGTACCCCCCCGGGATCTACCTTCCTTCACAATTCACTGGTGTATATATATATATACATATATGTACGAGGGCGGCTTTTTTTCGTGTCAGATAGTCCCATGTTCCCCAGCTCCCGCCTCGATTCTTCAGCTTCTCCTTGAGGTCTTTGAGGGTGGGAATATGCCCAGGCCTCAGAGCCCCCGCAGCCCGCACGTGGCACAGCTTGGGGCTGATTGGAGCGAGATGATTCGAGCGCCTGAGAGGTTAGAATAAGTTGGCACCCAGTAGAAAAAGTTTTCTCCTTCTCTTCTTCCATGTAACACTAGGTTCTCCAGTAGAGAGGTTAGAATAAGGGTGCCAACTTTTTTCAGTTTTGTCTATTTTAGTAGATGCCTCCCCCAAACAAGGGGGTGAGAAAGGGCACCTAGCTGGGAGACCTAGCCATTGTGTGTGGTTGGGTTCGGTTGGCGCCGGAGCCACGGGTTTTGAGTCTCATCCCTTTTGGCCCGGGGCCTGCTCTCTTTCGCATCCTCTGCTGAGCGACCAAGATGAACCTAACTGATGCTCAACTCCGGGAAGTATGGGCAGCAGCAGATGTTAAGGGAGGGAATGGCCAGAAATGCATAGAGCTTCCTTGCAAACATGGGGGTGGCATTTCATTTTTGGAGCCCCCAGAACAATCGCGCAGGTCTCACGGGCTGCCTACACTCCTATGAAGGCTTATGTATATAGATCTGCATGGTTTATATATATATATATATATATAAAGAAAATATGGCCATGGGTCAAAAGCCAAATCGTACCCCCAGTGAACATCCCGGTCCCCACTAAAATACGTTCTAGAATGGGTGGTAAACTCACCTACCAACCAAAATGGGATCCCAAAACGGTTTTGACCACCACAGCCACATATCTTTCGGCCCCCGGGACCGGGGACCGCGCCGATCCTTTGCCCGGAGCCCGGCCTTTTCTTAAGCGCCACGCGCTGCCCCCTTTCGGGGAAACCGGAAGGAGACCATCCTTCTTGGGGGACTCATCTTGGCCGTCTCTCCAAAAGACCGCCGGCTTTCTTCTCCCTCTCTTCTTCCGTTTAAAACTAGGTCCTCCAGTAGAGAGGTTGGAATAAGGGTGCCAACTTTTTTCAGTTCTGTCTATTTTAGTAGATGCCTCCCCCAAACAAGGGGGTGAGAAAGGGCACCTAGCTGGGAGACCTAGCCATTGTGTGTGGTTGGGTTCGGTTGGCGCCGGAGCCACGGGTTTTGAGTCTCATCCCTTTTGGCCCGGGGCCTGCTCTCTTTCGCATCCTCTGCTGAGCGACCAAGATGAACCTAACTGATGCTCAACTCCGGGAAGTATGGGCAGCAGCAGATGTTAAGGGAGGGAATGGCCAGAAATGCATAGAGCTTCCTTGCAAACATGGGGGTGGCATTTCATTTTTGGAGCCCCCAGAACAATCGCGCAGGTCTCACGGGCTGCCTACACTCCTATGAAGGCTTATGTATATAGATCTGCATGGTTTTTATATATATATATAAAGAAAATATGGCCATGGGTCAAAAGCCAAATCGTACCCCCAGTGAACATCCCAGTCCCCACTAAAATACGTTCTAGAATGGGTGGTAAACTCACCTACCAACCAAAATGGGATCCCAAAACGGTTTTGACCACCACAGCCACATATCTTTCGGCCCCCGGGACCGGGGACCGCGCCGATCCTTTGCCCCGGAGCCCGGCCATCCTTCTTGGGGGACTCATCTTGGCCGTCTCTCCAAAAGACCGCCGGCTTTCTTCTCCCTCTCTTCTTCCACTTAAAACTAGGTCCTCCAGTAGAGAGGTTAGAATAAGGGTACCAACTTTGTTCTGTAGTCTATTTTAGTGGGGGATGCCTCCCCCAAAAAAGGGTAAAAGGGCACTACTGGGGGACCTAGAAAATGTCCAGCAGTAGATTCCCTTTAAAACCGACTGGAGAGCATATATACAAACATATTCACTTCAGCCAATGGACAGGGGAAAATATATTCCTTTCAGCCAAATGGCCGTGTTTCTCATCCTCAGACCCCACCCTCCTTCCTGCGTACCGTTCGACACGGGCGCCGGCGGGAACTCCCCCTTCTTCCGGCGCTTCGCCGCCCGCTCCTCGCGGGAATTTCTGTTGGTGCGCGGCGGTTCAGGCGGCTCCGAGCGAGCTCTCCGGTCGGATTTTTGGGCGGTTTCTCCGGGGGCCTTTTCATTTGACCCTTGGTTCTAGGGGTACCTTCCCCACTCTTTCCAGGGATCCTTCTTTCAGGAAACCATCAAAAACCCCAGAGAAACAGCCGGTTTTTGAAGAAACGATGGTTGAAAAGAATGTGGCTTGGTTCATGGTGGTTAGGGAGGGGTTTCCCATGTAGAGGTTTCTTCACATCCCACCAATCCAATCCGAGCCACCAAGGCTTTCCTATGTAGGGGTTTCTTCACATCCCACCAATCCAATCCGAGCCACCAAGGCTTTCCTATGTAGGGGTTTCTTCACATCCCACCAATCCCTTAGTGGCTCGGATTGGATTGGATTGGTGGGATTTGAGAACCCCTACATGGGAACCCCCTCCTCGGTACCAAATCCTTTGGCTCTGGAGGGCTCGAAATAAACCGGCGGCCGCGGTGTTGCTTCCAGCGGTCTGGGCCTGGAGCTTCACCCGGGCACGGAAGATCTGTTTCTCCAGAAGGCAAAGTCAAACCAAGGGGATCCCATTTTGGGGCAGGTGAATTTACCACCCATTTTAGTTCACTGGCACGGGATTTTGACCCATGGCCGCATCTCTGCAGGTTTCGGACCGCAAAGTTGCACCAAATCCAGGCTGAACCCCCCGGCACGAGAACTCTTCTGGCTGAAGGCAGCCGAGTTCAGTGTGTTAGGTCCTCTTGGCTTAGCGACATCTCTTGGCTCTGTCCAACTCGAGAGGCTCCGTGGCAACGGCTTCTTAGGGATTCCATAGACGATTCCATAGAAACCCACAGAAAGGATCCCTTGTTGGAACCCTACTGCCGGAGTCACTCTGGGCGGAACATAACTCTCACAAACTGAAAATAATTGGAATGATTCCCTGACCAAGTGACCTCTCTGACGGGCACTTTACTCTGAGCTCACTATAACTTGCAGGCTGTGCAAATGGCAGTTACGAAATGGCGCCAAAGGGGCAATCTAGGAGGCGACGGTCCGGTGTTTGCTTGCTGTGTCACTTGCTGTTTCCAGCCACTCACTGTCTAAGGAATGACTTGAGTTGGAAAACATCAGCACCTTGGTACGGCGGCCAACCCTCCGCCCGGCTCCTCCTCATTCTGCGGCTTCCGCGGAGTGCCGTCCTCAGGCCGCAAAAAAAAAGCAACTGGGGTGCGTCGAGACACACTGGACGATGGCTCCCTGCAAAACGCTGAACGAGGTGCCCCCATCTTGCGCCGAAGCAACTATGTCCGACCGGCTCTGCAAGCCCTGGGCTGAGATACAACGGGAAAAAAAGAGCTGAGTCATTACCTATGCTAGAGAGGATAGAATAAGGGTACCCGATTTTTTCTGCAGTCTATTTTAGTAGGGGAATCCTCCCCCAAAAAAGTTGGTAAAAGGGCACTACTGAGGGACCTAGTATGGGCTTCTCAGAATAGCCCAAGCCCAGAATAGCAAACCACCAACACAGACCACCAATGAAGTGGAACCTGAAATCCGACCAGCGCGCTCTTCGCGAGCAAGCGCTACTGCTGCAAACGCAAGCAGTAGAATCTGGGAAGCACAGCGATCTTCACAGGTGAGCGCATGTGCCCATTTACCAAAAAAAAGAAAAACAAAGAACATGGGAAGGCCGTTTTCCCAGTTGCAAGTGACTGGCAGACATCAAAAAAGAACAACAAACAACATGGCGAGGCCGTTTTCCCAGTTGCAAGTGACTGGCAGAAGTCAAAAAGAACAACAAACAACATGGGGAGGCCGTTTTGGGGGAGGTTTTGGGGGGACCTCTTTCGCGAACCAACGAAACTAACTTCGGCAAGGCTGGCACTGGATCGGAGCTTCGCCGAGCCAATGAGTTTGGAGATTGCCGAAGAACCCTCGAACCACCGACCGCCGTCCCAAAGGCGGCGGTCAGAACTTTGGAAGGCAACTCCAGGGTCGGACGCCCCGGAGCCCGCCTTCTTGCCAGACCGCAACCTCCCCCCCCCCCAAAAAAAAAAAAAAAAAAAACACAAAAAAAACCAGTTGGTGGTTGAAAGGAACAATTGAGAGGAAGCAAAAAATGCCAGAAAAACCTGTCTTGGTGTTTGAAAGGAAATAGATTGAGAGGAAGTAATACCAAAAAAAGCGTGCAAGAAGTTGAACAGTCACCCTTTGGCACTGCCTGTCATGGTTTTTTGCGGAAACCTCCGCGGAGCTCTCGACCACCGAGCCAGTGGCCTTCACTGTGATGTTGGAATTCCGGCAGAGCGCGCCGTTCATCGCCTCCGAAAAAGCCATCAGGTCGACCGACTCGAGGGGAAAACAAAAAACAAAAAACGCGCCTGGGTCCCAAGCACTGCTGTTTGGACTGCACTTGTGGTTTCGAACATAACAGTCGTTGGGGGGCGCTGCTTGCTCGATCTCCCTTGTAAAGTTGCAAGCTGCTAGCGGGCGCCGCCAAAACTGCCACGTTGGGAGGTCCAAAAAAAGGCGGAACAAGCTATCCCCAAAAGAGTTGTCCACGTGATTTGTCTAGGAAACCTCAACATCCCTACTGATTTCTTTCTTTGCGGGTAAGGCTTCTTCCCAAGTCATTGAAAGCATTTGAACGTCCAGAAACTGGGGGGTGGGGCGAAGGAATGAGGGAAAATCCCCACCAAAGACCACGGCCTCGGCCGTGATGTCGCAACCTCCACTCCACTCTTGAAGAGGTTGGCGGCTTGCGGGGTTGCAGGTGGAAAGCATCTTAGTTGTGAGTCGAAATGTGGATTTGGACACCCAAAATGGGCGTCCTGTTGCTTCCCTTCAAAAACCTGCAGCCTCTACCCGTTTCTCGCCCAATTGCGGGGCACTCCCAAAAAACATGTCATGACTCTGTTTCCCGTTTTGTTCCACCGCTGGACACCCAAACTGGCCGCCCCAGATTTGGAGGGCCCAAAGTTAAAGCCCCCCTTCGCTGCGCGCCGCCTCTCGGAACTGCTCACGGTGCTCCGGTAGCACCGTGACAAAGGCCTCGGCCGAGAGGAGCTCGCTCCGCGGCTCGCTCCGCGGCTCCCAGGGTCCCAGGCGCTCGAGTTCAGAAACCAAACGGCGCTGGGAATTGGCTTGGTGGTGTGGAGGTGTTCCGCAGGTGGGGGTTTCCAGCATCTACCCCCGAGAACCGCAAGAAATCCCCAAACCGCCAATCCAAACAAACAACTACAGGTCTGACTGAAGAGTTGGCGCTATTTGCAGTTTGGTTCCAGCCACAAAGACGCCAAAGCCACAAGACGCCGGCTTTGAACAAGCCGGTTGTAGATGCCAAAGCCGAAGAGGTATCCGGGTCAAACAACACCTTTCTTGAGGAAAACAACACCTTCCTCGGGCGAGATCCTCGCCCCTCCATGGCAGGTCCCAGCAATGCCTTGGGCCCATTTCGCGGCGGTGTCACCTTGTTACTCGCCATAGCGCTGGCTGCTACGGTCGTGCGGAAGCAGCTTGTTTGGGTAGGTGGGCCACCGGGCTGTGACGAAAGCAGAGCTGAAGGCACTGCTGTCACAACCCCTTCTTTCGGCTTGGAACAAAAAGGAGGCCAAGGTCTTGTTGCTTCAAGGCAAGCGTTCAGGTTGGCTTCAACCGAAGTGAAGCTTACGGGTTTGGGGAGATTTAGAGCTCCGTACCTGTGCTCTTCCCGAACCCCAAATGGCTGTGGATCAAAAATAAGTACCCCAAATAGAACTTTGGTAAACGGAACATAGACTACGTAACACTTGTGGTCCGTATCCTGGTGGTTTGATTTGGACCCATACAAATTGGCAAAATTGACCATAGTCAGGAGGTTTGAACCAGACCTCATGGTGACGGGATTGCAGGGGCTTGGGGCATGAAATGCTCCCGGAGCCCCGTCGTCACCATAGCATAATCGGTCCTGTTCCTTTTAGTTGTTCAGGGTCTTTCTCCTCGGATACCTTCGCCCAACTCTGAGGCACGTAAAAGAAGGGGAAAGCTAATGGCGAACTTCATCGCTCTGTCCGCTCGCGCGACCGGTCAGGTAGACACGGCCTCTGGACTTTTACTTGTTGCCGATGCCGGCGAAAATGCGAAGACATGTAAATGTGAAAGTTGCGAAGATATCAGAGGTATGCAATCCTTGGCAACGCCTTTCGTCGCTTGTGGGAGGGGAAGGAAAAACGAGGGTCATTGAGACATGATGAAAATAGATTCGGGTGGTTTGCAAGTCGTAAGCTTCCAAGGTCTGATGAAATTTGGGGGTCGCTTGCCCCTTTTTGTTTGTCTTCCAAGGGTGGAGTCCACCCTCAACTTATGCTTCGGAAGTGATGTCACGCCCTTCGAATTGTCCTTAAGCCCTGGCAAAGGGGTGGTCGTGCTTGGCTAGTTTGTATCGCGAGACAGGGACATGATGGTGGAAAACCACCCGAACTCTGTGATAATACAATGGCTCCTTCTTCACTTTGAAGGGGATTCCCACAGCAACTCATAGAAATGGTCGTCCTGAACTCGTGGCTTTTCCCCACAAAACACACACACACACACGCAAAAGCACACAAACCTCCATTTGCTCAAGTGTCCCCTGGAAAAAATAAAAGTATTTCCAGTAGTGCTAGATTCCCTTTGACATCAACAGGGGAAAATAAACAATAGTCTTAACCAAATGGAAGCAAACCAAAAAACCGGCAACTCCTCCCCCTGCGGCTTCGCCGCCCGCCCCTTTCACCGCCGCAGCCCAGCGGCGTAGCTCCAGGTCTGGAGCTTGAAGACCTTCTGCAGCGGCACCGGGCTCGCCTCAGCCAGCCTCGGATCTCTCGTTTCGCCGCTCTGTTCGCTCGCACGCAAAACGCTCGTCGCGAAAAGAAGAAAACACACACACACACAAAGAAAAAAAGAAGGAGACAAAAAACGAACACAACGCGGCGGAGGTGTTTTGGTGTGCTTCTTCTTTGGGCATTTTTTTTGTCTGAAGAGCGCGAGGTGGTGTTTTTTTTGCTTTTGTCCAAGAACTGTTTGGCGAAAGCGCAAGGAGGAGGTGTCTTGTTTTGTGCCTTTCTTTGGTTTGGGGGGGGGGGGGAGAATTTAGAATGGCTGGCACCAACCAAATCGGAACTTTTGGCCTGCCCACTAAAATGGCCCAAGCCAAGTGCCTCAAGTCCAACTTGGGAAGTGAATGCAACTGGAGCCCCTCTCGTCGCCGTGTGGCAGAGACTCCTTTCAGGCGCATCAAGGGAGCTGGAATCAAAAAGGGGAGCCGGAAGGGCAAATTTTGCTGGATGCGTGGGCTCGTGACATCCAGCCTAAACCGTTCCTTGGTTGCTGTTGATCCCTCCGCAAAAAGTGAATCACTTTTTGTGGGCTCGGTGGAAAACCCAACTTGATTTCAACCAAAAAGTTAAAGTCTAAAGATCCAACCCAATATCACGCTTGAGCCGCGGGGCCACTGCTCCAGCTTCGAGCACGGCATCTTGGTGAAGTCCTTGCACTGCACGTGCCTCAGTCACGCGTCCTTCTGGGTTCAGAGGTCCAGGGAGCCCTAGGGGGCTGGCTTGGGAGGCCGACCAAGGAAACATGGGTAGGTGTGCAAAATATGTGTGGCCCTCAACATGGGCTCCCATGTTGAAGCCCGAGTGCAAGAAGGTGATGGACATGGCAAAGGCTTGTCTTGTCGTAATTGAAAGACGGCCCATGTACCCTGAAGGTATCAGTCCCGTACCCTGGAATCTGGAAAATTGGAGCCGCTCACTTGGAGGTTCAAGCCACTTTGTAGGAACCAACCCTAGAAACAGTACCACTAACTTGAGCCAGCAAGCCCTGAGCTGAGCTAGGACTTCTGGCGTGCTTGGCGTGCTTCATTTGCAGCGGGCCAGACATATGACTATATATGGCCACATAAAGCCGCTGGGGACTTGCTACGTCAGCTCGTGCGGAAATGTTTGATCTGTCAACGGTCCTTTGGAAGCTCGGGGCCCAAAGGGAAGCCAACAGGCAAACCGCTTCTGTGGATGGTTGCGAAATCCATTTCGCACCACCTAAGAAACCCTGGAATGATGGTTCACCTGTAAATACCAACAAACAATGGTTTCCAATGGTTTCCAAATGGTTTCCAAATGGTTTCAAAGTGGTGCAGGATTTTGTCCATCCACAGTATGTGTTGGGCCCGCGATTTTGACACTGTGAATTTAAGGTTGTCCCTGGTTTGCGGCTCGTCTTCAGCAACAAACAACAGAAACACAAAAGAGGGCAAACAGGAGCGTTCAGTTGCCCGGGTTGCCCTGACTCTGATTTTAAAACTGGCATAGGAGTCTAGCCAAAACCTTGCAAATCAATTTCAGCCGCCACGGCTGTCGAATTTAAGTTTAACTCCCCAAATTTCGGTTGTGGCAACATCTAAGGGCCGCGGACAAATCGAGCAGCCACATGTCTTGCTGGTCATCCGTTGAGGCTCAACCGGCATTGCCTGATCGCGCCGCTCCAAAAAGGGTACCCGAAAGAAGCACACACACAGACAGAAACACCTTCAAGGCTATCTTCGGGCCTTCTCTGGGGGGGCGTTTTGGGGGTTTTGGGGGGGTGAATCCTTCAGCAGACCTAACGTTGTGGAATCCTTGACCTACCGTTGTGGCTCAGAGCATGCAAAGCAAAACAACCAGGAACCAGCGGGGAGCACTCGGACTGGATCCTTCCCTCCAGCCCGGGCTGGGGAATCCAGGCAAGCTCGCGGCCTCGGCCGCCTCGGCCGCCTTGCCGCAAGGCGCTCCCGCTCGGCCGATCGGACCCACGGCGACCCAACCACGGCGGCGGCGACGTCTCACGTCCGTTCCGCGAAGGGCAACAAAAAAACAAATCGGCTTTCCCCTGCGACTATTTGGGGGAGCGGATCAGAAGCTTAAAGGCAGCTCGCACTTGTTCAATAAGAATCGAGCTGTGTCGTATCTTTGATCGAGTGCTGACCTTTCGAACATGGATGTCAGCAGGCTTCAGCAGGGTCCCAAACAGCACGATCTTTTGACATCCAACGCGCTCAAAGATGTTCGACAACTCGAACGCGCGCCCTAAGAGGCAGGTTGCCGGGACCACAGGTCTGATATTTGCCCGCTCGGGAAGGCCGTCACTCCAAACACTTTTCGATTGCACCCAAGCGCAGTGCATCCGACAACCTGGTTGCTGTTGACCCCCCTGCAAAAAGTCTAACAACTTTTGGGGGGGTTAGTGGAAAACCCAACTTGATTTCAACCAAAAAGTTAAAGTCTGAAGATCCAACCCAGCAGCAGTCAAAATACTGCAACGCAAAAAGGGCCGCATGGACGATATGAGGCTCAGCTTGTCCAGGTCCGCTGTCGGATTTCTCGCGAAGGAGGGCTACACCCACCCGCCCAGCCCCACCACACCCCACCCACCCCACCCCGCCAGCGATTTGGGCACTTGAGCCCCCTATTGGCCATGTGAGGTTTCTCAATTTTGTGGTAACTGTCGGCTGTGTGGGAAAGAAGTGGTTTTAATTTTGGATGTTGTTTTTTGTTGTTTCTTTTTTTTGGGGGGGGAGGGAAATCAGGTCAAAAGCTGCTTTCAGTCTAACCGACTGAACCAAATAGCAGCAGCCCAAGTTCCATGAACAGGAGGGTATGAACCTACGTTTCGGTCAGCGGACGCACAGCCTGGTGCTGGGCTATTGACCTCCGTGAACGGGGAAACGCCGAAAGGAAACCTCCGGAATGGGCTCTTTGTAAAGTTCCCCCACTCCAAAAGGAAGCCCGCGGCATATTGGCAGCTCAGGGCGAGGTGTAAAACCAAAGATATGGGCGTGTGTTTGTTTGAGGGTAAAAACCCCTTTTCAGCTCAAACGTCGGGGTCCCCTTACTTTTGACACATTCCCCAAACGGGGAAGGAAACAACAGAACCTGAAAGCCCGCCTCCGGCTCCGCCATCGCTGGATCCTGGGCCGAGCAGGACTTCTTTCTGCAAAAGTTGAAGTCAAAGGAACTGAGTTCTTCTCATGTTTGCTTCCCCCGAAACATTGGCTCGAGTTTGGCAACTCATAAAAAATTGCCTATGCCAGGGGTGTTGACATGGCGAACTTGCAGGGTACAACCATTCCGAATTCCTGGCCTCTTACCCAAATCAACGCTTCCCGAACTCGGAAGCTTCTCGATTTTTCAATGGGGAACGGATTGGGGGTGGACTGGGTAAGGAATTTCGGGGCCCGCACTTCCCTCTTCCTCGAATGATGGACTGCCGAGAATATATCAGACGCTGACACAAATCAGGGGCAAGTGGGTCCACACAAGGAACTCCCCAAACCTCGGTTGCTTTCTGCTCCCCTGCTAAAAGTTTAACTTTCTAGTGGTTTAATGGAAAATCCATTAGTTGGCAAAAAGTTAAAGTCCTAACACCCAAGCAAGATGCACCAAAGAAACAGAGGTCCCCCTTCGACTTCCCGTCTAACGCCACCCTCTCGGGGCTCTCTGGGCGAGCCACAGGTCTCCATACGCGAGCGCACGCTTACCGGAGGTTTGAGTTGGGCCGTCAGCCAGGTTCTCTTCAGCCACTGTTGCCGATTTTTGGGATAAAGTGCGTGGAAAAAAAAGGCAGCAGCTGGCGATCCAGGTAGGAGAATTCTAGTGGGGCCGAATAGATTGGATAGAAGTCTTGGGCTTCCTGCATAGCAGCTCGCTATGAAAACACTCGCTGATCCCCAAAGCAACCCTTGCATGATATGGAAAGGAATGGCTCAAGAAAACACAAGCACGAAGGCAACCGATGATGATCGTGAGGTTGTCACATCGCAGAGTTTGCCTGCATCTACCAGCGAATCTTGAGCTAAGACAGGGCTGGGCGATTCGACCGCTTTGAACAGCTCCTGCCAGATAGCCAAGTTGCTGGATTTTTTCAGACACGGTTGCTGTGTTTTGGGGTAAAGTGCATGAACATAAAACACGATCGCACCTTCGATCCTGCCTTTCTGCAAGGATCGGAGCAGGGTCTGGGCAAGACAATTAGCAGTGTGTCAAACATATGCACCCAACGTGAACATGGATTAAACCTGTGGTCCCATGGTGTAACTTTGACCCGCCGCCAAGTCTTGTCCAAGGCCAACGAAAAGCTTGACAAGCATCAGACCTGAAGCCGGGCCTCTAAGACTCTAGCCTCAAACCAACGGACAGGCGATTGGGGCGCTCAAAACGTCAATTTCCCGACCAGGGAATACGGAACTGGAGCATAGGTGGCCTTTTGGAAACATAGCTGGCCCTGGTAAATGGACCAAACCCCAGCTAAACCAGTGCCTTTGATTTTTAACCCAACTAACCTTTAAAGGACACCTATGAACTGGAGTCTTTGCTCAAGGGTCCAAATTCAGTTTGCTTGAAATCAACAGGGATTCGAGGACCCAATCGTCAGGGTAGAATACCTGGACAAGGAAACTCAATCTGACGTGTTTCTGCCCAGGTTTGAAGAGGAGCAACGCCGTACTTGAGCGGCAAAGGGGGAACTCAAACCGGGTGGTTTCCTGTGTTCCTTTTTTGACAAGAACAAAGGTCACCCCCCACACCAATTTTCGGCCGTTTTTGGCACTTCGGCCAAGAGGTGTCCAACAAGAGTCTGTCTTCGGCTCCTTCCTGCCGCCTTGGGCGACAAAACTCACCAGACATTTCGCCTGGAATCAAACCGGAGATCTTTGCGGATGCTGTTACAGCCCGATTCCGGTAAAAAAGGAAGGATCCGCACAACTGTCCATTCGAATGCCCGCCTCTGGCGGAATACCATTACCGTTGCGTGACTGCGCGCAAACGCATTTCTGTTGCTGAGCTAACCCCGTCTCAGGGCGCACTAGCTCCCCGCAACAGGCTTTCATGGTCTCACAGGCCATGAAACTACCATTGGCGAAAGTGAAGTGAGCTGGCAGTCGTTCTTGTAACAAAGGCTTGGCCACAAAACTCCTGCGCCCGGAACAAAGGTCATGGAAGGGGAGCCCGACACGGCAGGCCATAGCCCCAGAAGCTTAGCTTGCCCTGGCGCTCCCCCGATGACCTTCCCCGCCCCCCCAAAACCCCCCAATTGCAAGCCCCCAATGAGATATCAGGCTCCAAACCCCGCTTGGCTTCCAAACCCGCTTGCGCTCGATCCCGTTTTCGGACCGCTTTCCAAAAATCCTCAGACGGGTCTGGTACGGCTCTGCGGCGAGGGCAAGAACATCGGCAAGTCGTCCTCCTCGCAGATCTCCAATGGCCGGGCGGGCACCTCGCGAGAAAAAACACACAGGGTGACTCAGGGAAGTTCGCGCGGGCGCGGGACGGGTGCGTTCGTTTGCTCGGCTCGTGTTCGTGTTCGGTGTGGCTGTGTGTGTGTGTTGGTGTGTGTGTGTGTTGGTGCGTGTTTGTGTGTGTGTGTGTGTGTGTGTGTGTGTGTGTGTGTGTGTGTGTGTGTGTGTGTGTGTGTGTGTGTGTGTGTGTGTGTGTGTGTGTGTGTGTGTGTGTGTGTGTGTGTGTGTGTGTGTGTGTGTGTGTGTGTGTGTGTGTGTGTGTGTGTGTGTGTGTGTGTGTGTGTGTGTGTGTGTGTGTGTGTGTGTGTGTGTGTGTGTGTGTGTGTGTGTGTGTGTGTGTGTGTGTGTGTGTGTGTGTGTGTGTGTGTGTGTGTGTGTGTGTGTGTGTGTGTGTGTTGTGTGTGTGTTGTGTGTGTTTGTGTGTGTGTTTGTGTGTGTTTGTGTGTGTTTGTGTGTGTGTGTGTGTGTGTGTGTGTATTTGTGTGTGTGTGTGTGTGTGTATTTGTGTGTGTGTGTATTTGTGTGTGTGTGTATTTGTGTGTGTGTGTATTTGTGTGTGTGTGTATTTGTGTGTGTGTGTATTTGTGTGTGTATTTGTGTGTGTGTATTTGTGTGTGTGTGTATTTGTGTGTGTGTGTATTTGTGTGTGTGTATTTGTGTGTGTGTATTTGTGTGTGTGTATTTGTGTGTGTGTGTATTTGTGTGTGTGT